AGCCGTTGTAACTATACTTGAGACCTTAGAACTTATATCTCAAGGTGGGTGGCGCATTTACGTCGTAGATGCCTATGGGCTCCAGTAACCACTTAACACCAGGTGGGCTGTGAGCTCGTCCAACCATCGGACAATACCATTGACATTGCCATTTGGTGTGTGCAGCGAACTGGGCCGCTAACATTAACCAGTTAGTTTATATAGATCAATCGAATGCAGTTCACATGTAATGGATCTTACTTCAGAGCATTTTGTTTGTAGTATCGTTCCCACAAAGTAGGCCATGTTAGTAACACGTGTTTACGTTATGTATATTGTTTGTGTGTCGAAGGCGATATGTTCGTGTGGGTTTCATTACAATATACACTTCCGCCTCGAAATAATGCTCACTAATAAAATCTTAGTATTGTCGGTCGCGATTTTAAGAGCTAAAGTACCCTTTGTGGGTATAATCAATAATAATCATTTGTTTCAATTTACACAAAATATCTCGGTCATTTATACCTTCGTTCGACTTGAGCCTCTTTTTTTTTCCTACCTAAGCTGATAGATAGCCTTGAGAGACCATTTCAGCGTAGCCTTAGGTAGTAGGTGAGCTCACGGGGGCTCTAACCTGACGATGCTGCTAACACGAACCCTAGCAAGACCCGTGCTTTGCAGAATCTACCACCGGATCGGAAACGCGACCCACTGAGAAGATCCGGCGAGAAACTCAGTACTCTTGAGTTGTTAGGTCTTCTTTGGAGGCGCTCGGGTAGCTGTTAGCAAATCCCGCCCCTCCTGACTGAACCCTTGCTCGCCCACATGTCCTGGTGAACCTAGAAAGGCTTCCGGGCCACCAGTAACTCCACAATCATAAAAATAAAGTTCCTAAATGTTTCGGTTGCTTATTAATCACTCAAGCGTTGTGAAAACTAGCATAGGAATATGAAACATAACGCCTTTTAAAAAGACCATTTACCAGTTTACGAACATAACTAGACCGTATATTACTTTTAGTGTATGTTTTGATTACTATGTTTTGTATGTTAGAGTAAATTCAGATATAGATAAGTTGAGATATAAACTATTTATTTATATATTTATTATTAGACTATTACTAGTGTATTAATGTTGCTGAACACTGGTTTACGAGTTTATTATTTAATGCGACTATATTTCATGACGAGTTATGTGCGACTGACTTACACTTTGTCATAACTCGATACAGTGTAACTGCATGCAACCTTACTATTGCATTGATAGGCTCATTTCAGCCGACACATTACTACTTGGTATTACCGGTGGTAGGACCTCTTGTGAGTCCGGACGGGTAGGTACCACCGCCCCGCCTATTTCTGCCGTGAAGCAGTAATGCGTTTCGGTTTGAAGGGTGGGGCAGCCGTTGTAACTATACTGAGACCTTAGAACTTATATCTCAAGGTGTGTGGCGCATTTACGTTGTAGATGTCTATGGGCTCCAGTAACCACCTAACACCAGGTGGGCTGTGAGCTAGTCCACACATCTAAGCAATAAAAAAAATAAAAAAATCGCGTAATCAGTACAAAATTATCGCATAAACCTCTGAAACGTATGAAGAAATAAAAAGAAATAAACATAGGAGAATGCGTGAACGCGATGATTTTCTTTCCGGCGTCAAACAATGATGTTATGGGAAATTATTGGCGGCCAACAACCATTTTGCGACCTCATTCGGAATGTTGGAAATCCGTCGCGTACTATATTCGGTGGAATGTTTGTTGGCTTGGTCTTTGAAGAAAATTTAAAAATGTAATAATAGGCATAACGTATATTGGGGTTTTTAGCGCCAACATTATCGTTTTAGTAAACGTTGGCCCAATGTTTTCGATATAAGAACCTTACTATTCATACAGTTAAACGTTGGTCATAATCCTTATTTACTTATTACTGGTGGTAAGACCTCTTGTGAGTCCGCACGGGTAGGTACCACCGCCCCGCCTATTTCCGCCGTGAAGCAGCAATGCGTTTCGGCTTGAAGGGTGGGGCAGCCGTTGTAACTATACTGAGACCTTAGAACTTATATCTCGAGGTGGGTGGCGGATTTGCCTTGTAAATGTCTATGGGCTCCAGTAACCACTTAACACCAGGTGGGCTCTGAACTCGTCCACCCATCTAAGCAATGAAAACAAAAACTTAAATAAATCTACTTAAAAAAAACATTGTTATTCTTCAAGTGTTCTTGAGAAGCAGATTTTTTTTTCTTTTGAATAGATTGAATTTAAATAATCATTGCATTATTTCCGGAGAGAATGACCGTGGTCGACGGACGATGCGAATAAATTTGTTTAATCGTGGTAAAGGGAAAATCTCGCAAAATTAATACACAATACGAACGAACCAGACAGAAACTATGCAAGATTGTCGTGTCTTTATGACGAAGGTCACGAATTCTATTTTCATTTGAGGACGGGCAAACACAAGCGCTTACATTTCGCTCACATTTACTATGAAGATGTGTTTCGTTTGTATAATTATTAATACTTTTATATTATTTAAAACATTTTTACTGTTTAACGGCCGTCTGGTGTAGTGGTAAGTGACATGGTCACTACACAAGCAGTGCGCGGGTTCGAATCCCGCCAAGGGAAGATATTTGTATGATAAATATAAAATGTCTTTTCCAGGGTTATGGATGTTTATTAAATATATTTATTTATTTATTTACTTATGTACACACAGAAAACAAGACAGAGTAATAGGAAAATTATGTACAAAGGCACTGCTTATTTCTTTGAGAAATCTCTTCCAGCAGACCTGCGAGAGGATAATGAGAATAATAATAAAAAGTGATAAGTGTGTGTAGAACAAATAACACATAACTAAAATAACAAATACAACATGAGAATTATAGCACATACACATAGCAAATATTATAAGTAACACAGTAACACTCGNGAATAATAATAAAAAGTGATAAGTGTGTGTAGAACAAATAACACATAACTAAAATAACAAATACAACATGAGAATTATAGCACATACACATAGCAAATATTATAAGTAACACAGTAACACTCGTATATGCGAAGAGTATAGAACCATGATCATTCGGTTGATGAGAGATAAAATTGTTTGACCTTGTATTTAAAAACAGATTATATATAACAGTATATTATGTATGTGTATAATAAAAATCTTACATTTATTTCCGTTATCTGGTACCTGTTGTAACACAAGTTCTTTACGAACTTAGCACGGCACCAGTGAACGTGGCGTGATTGTTAGTAAACATTTATATTTACAGTCAAATCTGGGTAAGTGAGAACTGGATAAGTGAGAAAACTCTATAAGTGAGAGTAATAGCCAGGGCCCGTCATTTTAAGCTCCCAAAACCTCTATTAGCGAGAAACAGAAACCTCTGTAAGCGAGAGTCGTTTTTCCCTCATGGACCTCCGTAAGTGAGACTGCTACGTATCTATACCTCTATAAGCGACAGTCGAGCTTTATTTATTTATATTATTTAGGAGGAACAAATGACAAAACAAATTACAAATTTAACATCTGCTATTTTATGACTCATTCTTAACTTTCGTGGAACTTCCTACCATTGTTTTTGTATTGTTTTCTCGTCAATATTGAAACTATTCTATTTAATGGAATTAAATAACGTTATTATTTTATCGCATTCTTTTCGAATGGACACGTGCGCCTGTGTACCGTCCTGTTTGTCGGACTTACTCAGTTTATCGTTAATTAATTACGAAGGAAAGTTCTGTTCTGCATCATGTCAAAACGGAAAATTAAAGTACTGTCATTAAGTGATAAACTTAAAATAGTGAATGCGTTTGAATCCGGAAAATCGCGAAATGAAATTCAGAGAGTGCATTAGTGAGAAACTCGGGTTAGTGAGAAACCTCTATAAGCGAGAATGAGATAGTGCTCCCTTGAACTCTCGCTTATCCAGGTTTGACTGTATATATTTATATTATATTTATAATGTAATTATTCCAGTGCTACTGTTACATTTCACGTTTGTTTAATTCGTTTTTCAGTTCCTAATGCACATACTGGTGACACATTTACTGGTGGTAGGACCTCTTGTTAGTCCGCACAGGTAGGTACCACCGCCCTGCCTATTTCTGCCGTGAAGCAGTAATACGTTTCGGTTTGAATGGCGGGGCAGCCGTTGTAACTATACTAAGACTTTAGAACTTATCTCAAGGTGGGTGGTGCATTTACGTCATAAATGTCGTTGGGCTCCAGTGACCACTTAACACCAGGTGGGCTGTGAGATCCTCCACCCATCTAAGCAATAAAAAAAAAAAAACCTCACGACCACGGACGATCAATGTTATTTTTTCGTTATTTTTTAGCGTTAATCGAAGAGTAACATCGATATATAATTACTTCAGCGCGTCACACGTAGGAGACCGGTGACCTACATGTCATGTCAACGTATTAAAGATAAATCTGAGTTTCATTGACAATCAAACTTTAGGGAGCGTCAGAAGAGATAGCATATTTTTTGTTACCCTTGTTTATTATTTCAGTGAGTGAATAATTTTATTAAGAACTAGCTTACCCGGCAGACTTCGTAGTGCCTCAATCGATAAATAAAAATCCGACGGAGGACACATCAAAAGAAAAACAAAATTGTTATTTTTATTTAATTCCGAGCATTTTCATATTTATCTACCTTTTAAACCTTCTGACTTCCACAAATAATTCAAGACCAAAATTAGCCAAATCGGTTCAGCCGCTCTCGAGTTTTAGCGAGACTAACGAACAGCAATTCATTTTTATATATAAAGACTAGTTGTACCCATCCGCTCATTCCGATTTGAGCAACCGACGCGCGTGGACGTGCTCATTGTTTTGTCGGAAGTGACTACCGGTGATAATAGATCATTGTTCGTGGCACATCTGTGGCCCAAGTGTTTCTCGGAATTTGTACCTGCGCCTAATTGCAAGGCATTGCCGCCCGGGAACTGTGCAGTGGTTCTATTCACTCTAATTCTATTCTATTTATTNAGAACAGTTTATAATGATTTCTATAATACAATCAAATATTCTATTGTAGGATTGCGGTATCGGAATGCCGATATGAAGAGATGATAGCTAAAGATGATCTGATAATGAATCCGATGCCATGAGATATGTTTTTGAGCAAGATGACTTAAATTACATCAAGATCGACGGGCCAGGTCATATCAGTACAGGTCTCGTATTATTTTCCCGATAAGTTTTGAATATGGCAAGTTTTTCGAAATGTTGTGCCGATAGATAATTCAGTATGTATGAGGGTAGTTATCTATTTCGGGATATAATTGATATTGTTCGACGCTAATAACTTTATTTAAATAATACTTAAAGTATATGATACATAACATAAGATGAAGTGTCATTTTGTTAAATATGTGAGTTTATGTGGTCACTTTTTGTAAGGGCAGCAGAAATGATATAGATTTTTACATTGGCAGATTAGCAAGAGGGGTATAACCAAGCATGACATTAAATAGGGAAAAGAATATTGTTATGCTGCGATTGTGAAATTTAGTTTGTTTCTTCTCTCAAGCCTATTTTATTTTAAGAACTACAAATGCGGTAGGTCGGTGGATGTGTCATGAGCCAGCAACCGGGCACTGCCAATAAAACGTTTATTTCCACCTATAAATGTACGTATATATATGATTTATTTGTAACAAGATTATTTTGTTTTTTGGTTGTACTTTAAGATGTTTGTTCTAAGTTTTCATTTAATTCATAATTAATAACTATTTCTGAACAAAGTTATTAGCGTTGACTTGATCTATGAATGTTTGCTTATAATGCTTGATCAATTAGTGTAATAAGGTGCTGAGGTAAACATAAAGTAACGAAAGTGATAATTCACCCTCATTGTTTGTGGATGTTTCGAGTGGTCGACCGGCTGACATTGAAAGTTATACCTGCCTGTGAACCAGCCCGCGGCCCCAATCTGAAACAATTGCCAACACCAGGCCCTTATATACATTGGTTGCTACAATTAGTTGTTGAGTATTTTCATACTTTAAATCTATGTTAGTGGTATCTACCTACAATGTAGGATACTATGCAACTTCCTGTAGTGTTAGTAATAATACAAAATAACTAAATAGGTATTAATTTATTTCCCAAACTGTAACTAATATAGAACCATTTTTACCCTAAGCTATTTACAGTTTGTATGTGATATTCCTGCAAATTATATGATCTTTGTTTGTATATACACATGAGGGTTAGTGGCATATCTTGATGCAGGGCAAATACATCCCATGTGTTCAAAACTTACTCTAATAGCTACAGGATTGTCTGTGTAGTCCACAGGTTGGCATTTTAAGCTGTAATGAAACAGCCAGCCCCCCATCATACTCTAAATAGAGCATATTAAAAAAATGTATCAAAATCAATTTAAAATATTATATACGACAAATTTTGCTCACTACTAATAAATAAAATAAACCAAACAGATTTCTGTTTACAATTTTAGCCAACAGAAATAGACAAGGCTTTGCAAGCTATCAAGTTCTCACCAAAATACAGTAATACAGAAGAAAGCATTTTATAAAAATCAATTTGGAATTATAATTTGGTAGGTACTAATTTACGAAATATGAAGAATAGCTTATTAGCTCACAGAGCCAACTAATATATATATAGTATTGCCAAAAAAGGTATGGAATATTAGAAATTGTAAACCTTAATAAATGGTAAAAAAAATTTTAAGTCATTTTATCTTGGATGTGGAAAAATCTAACAAATTATTCCAGATCTAAGAATATTAGAGGTTATATTCTTGCACATTTTTATGAGAATTACGAAGAGATTTCAAATACATGTTAGATGTCTGGCCACAGGTCTACATAAAACAATTGTTTACTATTAATCAAACATTGATTTATATGCACAGTATATTCTTACCTCGTAGAAAAGCCATGCACTGAATATTACTTGAAGAAAGTTATATAATATTAGAAGATTTTTTAATTCATATGGTTTTCTATTTTCCATAAATTGTGGCCCTAAAACCTGCAAAAAAATCAGTAATTAAAAAAATCAGTAAAAATATAACATAATAATGAACAAATTATTTAGTTTAGTGAATACCTTGACTAGATAGACATAACTTAAACATATAATTAATGTGGGTAAAGGTGAGCTCATAAGGAACCATGGATTAGTCCGAGGGTCTGAAAAAGAAACAATTTTAATTTTAATATATCTATAACATAACTGCTTTGATACTTCACATTAAAATAGAATACTAATGGTTTTTCAAAGTAAGCTGTGTGTAGCACGTAATAATTTAGTTTTAAATAATTTTAATTTATCACAACTTTATTCAAAAGGACATTAAACTGAAAGTTATATGAAGTATTGCAAGAAATTATGAAGTAACATTTTATTTTATTTTACTGGTTTGTTTTCTGACAAATATAAAGTTTGGTTTATGGGTAGTTTAAGCTTACCTCCATATTTATCCATAAATACGTGCATATCATTTAAATATTCCAGTATTAGTGCCATTTTGTAGTCTTCTGTAAAACAAATTATTTAAATTATTTTTTTGAAAAAATAATGTCAAGAAATACTACAGCTTTCGTTTCAAGTAGGTAGCGGTTATGACATTAGATAAAGCATACCCCAAAAATATATACTTTGTATGACTATTTCGTTTGTATTAACTTAAACATTTATTAATAGTAAAAATTATTTTAGTTCTTCATTTCATACTACAAAAATCAAAATGAAAATAGGTTATCCGGATATAGTTCTCAACGACAGTTGACACTGTTGACAGTATTGTCACCAGTCACCTTCGATTACAAAAAAAATTGTAGGTTTCGTACCGACTTGACGTACTGAGTCACTGTTCGGTGCTTACTAATTGATATAGTTAGTAAGTATCAGAACAGTAGACAACACCAATCACTCAATTATCGTGGTATCTCATAGTAATTATTTATTCCTTGAGTCTTGTGAATAGACCGGAACGTAACGGAGTCCTATGACTGAAGGATGGGACATTTTTAAAGTGCAGTTCAGACCGCGGCTTCGTGCCTTAAAGAGGGAGGCCTCAATCATCATTGTCGTTATATCTATGGACTCTGGTAATAAATGAAAACCAAGTGGGAACATCTCGTCTCCCGTCTAGACTATTAATAAAATTAGCGTCTAATACCGGTCACTCACATTCGCACGAATACGCAAACCCGCAAGTGTACGACATTTGCAAATGATTATGCAAAGTTTTCGCTGTATTCGTGGTTTTCCAAGCTGTGTCGGTTTTTAAACGGACATCAAAGCACGCGAACCGCGATTATTCGTGTAGTCTCCCACACATTCGTGTGACCAGTTGCGCCCACGATTGCGAAGGTAACGGACGTTTCGCCATTTTCATAATTCGTGACGTCTACTGTGTAGCGTACCTTAATCATGGATTGGAACAACACTAAGGTGATGGAGCTCATTGAACTCCTGCAAAATGAATCGACCATATGGGACCCTCAAAAGAAATCTTCTAAAAACAGAATGGCTAACGGCCAAGGGACGCCTGGGAAAGAATTAAAAACTCCCTTTCTCTTCAATGTTATATTGGTGAATTATAAAAGAAGAGAAATTCGTGAGACATTCGTAAACAAGTGTGGGAGGAAGCGCAAACGGGTTCGCAAATTGAGTACCGAACCCATTTGCACAGCCGCTAAGTTTGCGAATGAATGTATGACAGCCCTTCACATGCGCGCAAATATTCGTACATTGTACGAATGTTTGCGCGCATGAGTGACCGGCATAAGGCAATAACGAACACAATATGCATTTTGGGTGTACAATAGTTTTCGTAGATCATCGAAATTTACTTAAATAAGCTATGAGAAAACTAAGCTGATAAAAGATGAATTAAAAGCAAGGGTGGAATCTAATCTTTATCAGACAACTAAGAGCTTAGGGGTATGATTTGATTGTACGTTACCAACAATATAGTATAATTTGCGTCAACACGGTTATACAATAAAGTTCGAGAAATGGGTGCCTCTTAAAATTATAGGTACTACAATGTACCTCTGAAATACATTATTGAAGGTTCAGGCACACGATGCACAAGTTTCACGCGCTTGGCGATACCTTCCTCTGATCAAGGCCCCTAATATTACTTCGCAGTGTAATGGATATATATAATAAAGGATATGGAGAAAAAAACAAGTGTTGAAGTTTGTTTTGAGTTGTTGATTGGGTATACTCATGAAGGTACTTTACGATAGAATTTTAACATATGATGAAAAGTGTATTCTCTAAGATAATCGCAAATCAAAATTTGAATGAAATCATTCAGATCAAGTAGGCACCGAAAAATTCAATAAAGCGAAACGCATCCACAGAAATGTGTACAGTCAATGTGATAGTCGTTCCACACTTAAACTTACAGAAGGTAGGTAGCTTATTTAGATTTAGCGCATCAATAGCACGTTGTTATTGAGAAAAAACTTGATCAATTATCTAGGTGACTAATCAACATCTATAACTCACGAGAATCAACCTTGACTCGTCAAACGGTATTTGTTATTATTGCTCCACGAGAACGCAATTGTTATAGCTCTAAATGATCATTGTTTATTTCGGAATTTGGACAGTTTGTAGTAAATAATAATAAACGCCTTAGGAACAAAAATGTATAGAATTTGCAGACTGTTCTATTGCAACTGTAATAGCTTTTTCTCGAGATGCAAAAATGTAGCAATGTACCTAATAACGGCGCAAATATGTACTTAAAAAAAATGTGTATGTAGTTATCATTATAAAACCGCATAAAATAGTATGAAAATTTCATCAATATGTACTTCAAAGAACTATATAGTAAAGATTTACCTGTTCATTAGTAAGTGTACGTTAATGTAGTTGTAGTTTAAGCAAAATAATATGTTCAAGCGATGCGGACCTGTGTGATGCTTATTACGAACAAAATAATTTAACGAACGAAAAACGTTTAACGACGAAAATATACCAATATTTGTGTCGTAAGGATGCTTAGATAATATTCACTCTCTCCTTAAGGACTGGGTGAATCTTGACCAACTATGCTTTACTTCTAGTTTGACACACGTGTTTACCACCTGTTGTTGCGCATAGTTGTAAGTTCCTTCAGTGTATAAATTTGTTGGAGGAGAGCTGACGACAGTGTGGTTGCGAGGTGGATACTGACGGTATGGGCAGACGCAGGCTGCTTGCCTCATGTAGTAAAACCGAGCTCTCGCATGTTATCGTATTAAATAAGTAGTTACAATTGATTAATTTCGACATTTTTCTTACTCAAAAGACAGAGGCGGACTCATTTGACTCCGCAACCGTGAGTCAAGGTCAAGGTCAACGAGTACAATTTGTTTTTAAATTGAGGTTATTCTATTACCTATATAAAATCAAAAATACAGTATTGTGAAAATAAATGCTTTTGAAATCTTTAAGTGATAGTAGAACATTGTAGCGAAGTTGAGTGAATTGTTTTATTTTGTTAATCTTGTATTTCTTCAAGTTTTAACGTGTATTTATTAACCGTGTAGCATCTATATGTGCAGCAGTACACAGATGTGGGAAAATGAAACAAAGAGGCTGGACGTGGCTTCTTGGGTTATTAAAAAAATCCACTGAAGTCTCAGTAAATAACCACTATTATTATTATTATTGAGACTTTATTTCATCTCATCAATTCTCGTTTCATTTAATTTCATCTTATTCCGCTTCATATCGTTTTTTTACAATAATATAATATATATAAAATATATTATATCTATATATAAAAATGAATTGCTGTTCGTTAGTCTCGCTAAAGCTCGAGAACGGTTGAACCGATTTGGCTTATTTTGGTCTTGAATTATTTGTGGAAGTCCAGAAAAGGTTTAAAAAGTAGATAAATATGAGAATGCTCGGAATTACATAAAAATATTTTAACAATTTTGTTTCTCCTTTGATGTGTCCCCCGTCGGTCTTTTATTTATCGATTGAGGCACTACGAAGTCTGCCGAGTCAGCTAGTATAATATATAACTATAGAAACCCTTTAATTCGGGTTTTCATAAACTCCACACTGGGAACAGTGGCATCACAAGAAGCGAATTGCCATACTGAAAAGGCAACAGACAGGGAGAGATTTTTAGTATGATTTTAAAATATCAAGAATCGCCGTACTATTATAACCTAGCTGTAAATTCGTTCCTATGGGTATAATGGTTCACTAACACCCGTTTATGTTATAACTATCAATTGTATACCAGGTGCCGCAAAGCTATTTAATTTGGGGCTGCAAATAAAAAAAAAGTTTGTAATTTATGACTTTATTTTCTTCGGTTTTCGCGAGTTATAGATTTAATTAAAACTGTGTATAATAAATTCATTATTTTCACGTTTGAAATACTTTAAAGTTACTGTGGTGGTAGAAAACTAACGTGTTATTCGTCAGTATTTGAATGTTATGCTGACCACCGTCTTAATTTTGTTTATGAAAAATAAGAATTGTTGTTTCCCTTTAAATTAAGTTTATTCAAACAAGATTCACTGATTTTCTCGCCAGTGGGTTGAGATTACGATCCGGTGGTAGATTCTGCGAAGCACTGCTCTTGCTAGGGGTTAGTGTTACCAAATTCTCTCAGGTTAAGCTCGTGAGCCTATTTAACCCGGAATAGCCCCTTAGGCTATTAGCGAATGGGTTTAGTCGGTAGTCGGTTTTGCGGGGCGGGTCCTGCGTGGTAGACGCCGGGCAGCGCCTCGCGCGCCTTTCTCAAGGCGTAGTCTCCCGGTAGGAATTGGAAGAAGAGGAGGACTTTGGTCTTCCTCTTCTCCCTCTTCTTCTCTGGAGGCGCCGGAGTCCGACATAACCCGGTCTATTACCCCTCTCGACCGGGTATCCNTTTAGTCGGTAGTCGGTTTTGCGGGGCGGGTCCTGCGTGGTAGACGCCGGGCAGCGCCTCGCGCGCCTTTCTCAAGGCGTAGTCTCCCGGTAGGAATTGGAAGAAGAGGAGGACTTTGGTCTTCCTCTTCTCCCTCTTCTTCTCTGGAGGCGCCGGAGTCCGACATAACCCGGTCTATTACCCCTCTCGACCGGGTATCCGTAAAGGGATTCCCCAGCGTTAAAAAAAAAAAAAAAGGCTATTAGCGAATAGTTAGGGGAAAAAAGATCTAAGACTACCTTGAGGTGCGCCTATTTTTGGGGTATAATAATTCACGATAAAATAATCCCGGATGTTAGATCTCGAAATTTATTTCACTGATTTTATTCTTTATTGTACACCTAAAATGATTAGAGTGAAGAATTTTCATCAAAGAGGAATTCAAATATTTGAAATGATTAAATTTGATGTTGGTATCTAATTTATGTATAGAATCGTAGCTTACCTTAATATTATTTATGTTTTCGAGGCAATTGTCTTAGTTCTGTCCTCCTTCTGAAAACAAAAAAAAGAAACTGAATTTTGTGCTTGAGTCATTCGTTTAATATATTATTATGTAAGTATGCCCTAACTTAGAACTTTTAGCAACAATTCAACAAAAACTATTTATATTTTTGATGCTGTTTATTTAGATAATGTTTTAAAAAAGATGTGTGATGTCGTGGGACACCGGATAGGAACGAAGTTCCTTATTATAAAAATATTAATTTTAAGTTCTATTCGAGGTATAAAGAGAATAATTATTCCGGTATACATTTTTTATTATGATTTTCTAATTGATAAAAAAAAGCTACTTTACAAAGTTATCAACTTTATTTTATTCAAAATGATTAACAAAAAATATATAATAATAATATACAAAGAAACAGCTATTTATATGAATAATAATAATAACCGGCATCACGTAGACTATATATTAGACACTGTATAGCCATCTACTCTATCTCATCTACTACGACTATACAAATAAAAATCTTACGTTACGGAGGTTTTTTCCCGGTTAGGGTACCCCTTCGCATCGTCACATAAGCAACTTCGTTCCAAAAAAATTCTAATTCTGAATTTGAAGTCCTCGTGGTCTCAAGGATAAGACGCCCGGAGCATTGGTATTCGAACGATGTGACTGTGCCGGTGTTCGAATCCCGCAGGCAGGTACCAACAATTTTTTCTAATGAAATATATACTTCATAAATGTTCATGAATTACTTCCATAATGAAGGAATAACCTGTCCTGGTAATGGAAAGGCCTCCGGGCCACCAGTAAAATTTCAATCATAAAAAAAAGTGAAGGAATAGCATCGTGTAAAATCAAACCTGCAAAAATTATAATCTGCGTAATTACTGGTGGTATTACAACCGTCTTGTGAGCGCGCACGGGTAGGTAATACCACCGCCCATTTCTGACATAAAGCAGTAATGCATTTCGGCAGGCGCCTAGGTGATGTAGTGTAAAACAAACTATGAACTCATGTAACAAGGTGGGTGACGGCATTTACGTTGTTGATTTCTATAGGATATGCTAACCACTTAACTCTAGGAGGGCCGTGAGCTTGGCCACCCAACTAAGCAAAAAAATCATATAATATGAATCATGTTTTATACGATTGTAATTATATATGCATCACAGGACGGGCTATGTGAATTTCTAATGATGAATTTTTCTAAGCCTATGCAACACACTTGCAACAAACAAAAATAATAATAATTGTATACCTAACCATTTCTATACATTTATAATAAAACAAGTATTAAGTTAAAATGTATTCAAATATTTATGTATTATATTATTGCAGTATTATCTATTTCCAAAGTATTTATTTCCTACAAGCGATTTTAGTATTATGAAACGATTACTATTTTATGAACTTGTTAAATCGTAAAATCTTTCAGAGTTACTATTATAATTTATTATCACAAGTAAAAAATATACTGCGTATTTTATTTAAAATGTAAATCATTCATTAATAAAAACATTGCCATGGACAACAACATTCTTATGTCTTCTGTCCATTCTGTCCATCGATTACTGCTTCTGTCCTGATGGAGAGTTGAGATCAGGTACATATTAGCATATGCTTCAATACCTGATTCGTCCATCACTTGGGACTTAATCTTCTTAACCTATAACTATGAATTTTTGCAGTCACTATCACACGTTCAAGCTTATCTAAACCATTTAAAACAAATTTATTGCTTAAATAGATGGACGAGCTCACGGCCCACCTGGTGTTAAGTGGTTACCTGAGCCCATAGACACATACAATGTAAATGCTGCCACCCACCTTGAGATATGAGTTCTAAGGTCTCAGTATAGTTACAACGGCTGCCCCACCCTTCAAACCGAAACGTATTACTGCTTCACGGCAGAAATAGGCAGGGTGGTGGTACTAACCCGTGCGGACTCATAAAGACGTCCTACCACCAGTAATTACGCAAGTTTAAATGTTGTGGGTTTGATTTTTATTACAAGATGTTATTCCTTCACCGTGAAAGTCAATAGTGAACATTTGATAAGTACGTATTTTATTAGAAATTTGGTACTTGCCTGCGGGATTCGAACACTGGTGCATCACTCGATACGAATGCACCTGACGTCTTATCCTTTAGTTAGGCCAAGACGACCACTTATTGTTTTTTTTATTGCCCTTGTAAGCAGATAGACATGCGGCCCACCTGTTCGTGTGTGGTTACCGTCGCCCATGGACGTCAGCAATGCCAAGGGCAGAGTAAACCTGCTTCCTAAATAATTTTAAGTAAATTTTGTTCATAAATGACAATTTCTAGAAATTAATTTATGATAGAAATTTGGGTATTTAAAATTTCATTTACCATTATTTTTATGAATTGTCGATCATGAATATTATGGTTTTATGCGATATTCATAAATGTTATCTTGACCTATTTCGACTAGGTGTGTCTACAGTTGGTTCGTGTGATAAGATACAAGCTAGACACGTCAGATATAGTGATACGACAGATATTTTTCCTATCGTGAAATCGTGCGAGATAACAGTAATAAATATTGTTAAGTCTATCTAATTTTACCGAAGCTTATAACGCGCGAAATAACTGCAATTTCGCGTGGATTGAAGGTTTATGCAAGTTATGCAAGAATTTTAGTATTAGCACTTGTAGCTTGTCATAAGAGAGTTCCAGAAAGATATAATGAAACCGTTACGCATTATAACAAAATAAAACTTGCATGTTTCACGCTGTGAAAAAACAAGACTAAAAATTACAGTACAGCTAAAGCAGTCAAATATATCTACCAACAATCACTGTTACATTGTGTAATTTTGTAATAAGATATTTTAGGGTTGGCTATTACTATAATATACCTAATAATGACCAAAAAAACCATTTCATAATTGTTTTTATTTTTGCCAAAATATTAAGTTATATAGTTTATAAATCTATGCGAGAGCAAAGGAGCGTTGTACTTATCTATCTAACTTATCCATCTAAAATTGTAAATTACAGAAATAATAAAACAGTAAACCTTTGTATTAATGTGTAGTTGGTTAAAAGTTCATTCAAAAATAAATTTGCAATATTACATTATTTGCTAACTAATTACACTGGTCATCATTTTTAATAATTAAATTACATGTCTTATCTTTGTTTGATGCATTTCTAAGAATTTAAAACACAATTGATACGTGTCCCTTGTGAGATTTGTGAACTAAGTTCACGAGTGAGAATTCTTTGGATATTTTTTTCTTCACACAGTATGCGTGACCAACAAATACGATTGTACAGTCATGTAAATTTGTCGTGGGTCGATTCTGTTCATAAATCTATAATACATAGGTTATGTTCACAAGCGACTTAACCCAAGGGCGGATCCAGCTTTGGCGCCAGGAGGGGGTCACATAGTCAAATTTTCGATGCGCTCGTTCCCAAACGCTTGCCATCATACAAAGTTATTATATTATATTAAATTAATTAAATATTGAAGGTATGTAGTTACATAAAATCTGTATAGTGACAAAATATATAAATAAAATCATTAGGTTCAATTAGTGGTTCACCTAAGTCCTGGAACCAGCTCAAGGGGGGGTCATGACCCCATGACCACCCCCCCGGAATCCGCCGTTGACTTAACCAATGAAATAATAACATCGTGCAGCAAAATATGGCTGCAACATCGTAAGAGCTGTTACTGGTAGTAAGACTTTGTGAGCCCATATGTGTTGAAATCACTTCCCGTCTATATTTTCGATTGATAGGATAAGTATAGCTTCTTTTAATGGAATTGAGACTGTTCTCACGTCTCGAAATGCTAATGGTGACATTAACATTGTTATTTTATGTTATCATGGACTACATCAATTAAAGATTAGAATTTCTATTAAATCAGGTAATATTTTAATACCAAGTTGTGATATAATGAGAATCCATTTATTGCCAATAATAGCATCGAACTCGTTGCGATTTTTGTATTATTTGGAAGTTATAGTTGAAATCTCAACACAGCTCTCAGTTCAAAGTAAGGGTTTTATTTTGAAGGCCTTGAATAGGGACAACTCGTAGGTTTTATTGAATTATGTGTCCAGTCGTTTGAAGATAATCTCTTCTTAAGTGCTCTTTTCGGAGTTGCCAAATCGAAATTCAAATGTGTTGATCAATTCTTTCCAGACGGTGTCTATTCATAATACGAACAAAACGTAGTATTTTAGAATGTCTCGATCTACATGACAATATTACATAACGAAGTTTAAGACAAAACTGGCTTAGGGAGGAAATACAGTGTTGTATACAGTAGAAGCAAAAATCTACGCCGTCAAAGCATCTAGGCTGCAAATTTTTAGTGAAAACTTTTTTGATGAATTCGATTAAGAAATTTATTTCACATTTAAACTTGTAAAGTTTTCAAATGAGAAATTAATTTAGAACTTTCAATAAAGTCCCCAAAACCATGATTACTTAACTAATTCTTAAATTCTAAGATCAAGACGTGCGCAGGGTCAAAACTCAGTTAAGCATTGCAATTGGACCCACCAATTGGAAATTTTAGCTGTCATTAAACAAGCTTATATTTGGGGATGTTTTGTACTTTATAGTTTTAGCTTACTGATAGGCAACAGTAGGCCGTAAACTAACTAGGTCATTGGCTGCACGTCGAGTTAAGTAACAGAGAACAGCACGGGTCGCGGTTCTCTTACAAGAGCAATGTGCGAGTTTTGTCTCGTTATACTTGCACCATGCACTGGTATCTCAACACCACAAAAACATTAGCGATTTCATAAAAATAAAACAGTCTAAATCTGGTTTCGAAATTTAGAACATCGAGATTTAGCCATTTCGCTTGTTAAGGACTGCGATACTATTTCAATATTAATTGCATGTGGCATAGCTTTAGCGGCATAAGATTAATGTTGTAAACTACAATGGTTTTAATTCTAATCATTTTAAAGAAGAAATTACTATTTAAATTAATAAACTAACTAATCACACTGCTGTCGAGTAATGTTTTCTTTTTTGATATTTTGTTA